AGATGGTCGCCTCGGGTATGGCCGCCGCACCCCGCATGACCCCGCCTCGCCAGCTGCCGCTGCACACTGGCTTCCACGCAGGGCAGCCAGGTGGTATGCTGCCACCAGTGCGCTGACCGTGCACTGCAGGGTCGTCGGATGGCGTGGTGTGCCTGTGGCGCCCCACGGAGGCGGCGCTGTCGGCGCGGCACAACTTGGGCGCCGTCGGGACCGAGCAGCTGGCATCGCTGGGGGGGCACCCTGAGGAGGTGTACGCCTGCCTCTTCCTCCAGCACCAGCAGCAGGCTGGTGCCACCCCCGGAGGCGCGAACGGCGGCGGCAGCGGCGGCGGCAGCAGCGGCAGCGCACAGCGGCTGGTGGCAGCCAGCGGGGAGTCGCTCTTCCTGTGGGACCTGTCCACGCAGCGGCTGCTGCAGCAGGTGCCGCCGCCGCCGCCGCTAGAGGCGGCAAGCGGGGGCGAGCACCAAGGCAAGGCGCCCGCATGGCCAGGCGGTGCCTCGATGCGGCACGCTGCCCACATCTGGGACTGCTGATGTGTCGATTGGCTGGCGTGAATCAGCCACCCCCCCTGCTGCACCATTGCTTGCCCTGAGGTGTGCCTTGCCTCAACCCTGCATTGCAGTCCCCGAGCGGTGGCGCCCAGGCTACCTGTTTGGTGTAGCCGCCCAGCCAGACGGGCCGCTGCTGGGCGCCGCCTGCAGCGACGGCCGCCTGCGGCTGTGGGGCCGGCAGAGCGGCGACAGCGCCATCACGCCGCTGTGCACGCTGCCTTGGAACCAGGCCATGGGGTCCGACTGGTGAGGGGCGAGCATGCGCACCACAGCTGTGCGCTGGGCCAGCCGCGAGGCCGCACTGGAGCGGCGGCAGTCTGTCCTGCGGGTGGCTCCCAGTGGCGAGGCGCATGCTGGGCCCCGCCTCGTGCCCAGCCCCAACCTTGCTTGCGCTGACCGCCTCCTGCCCGCCCTCCCTGTGTATTGTCGACCAGCTGCTTTGGTGAGGGCGGCCTGTTCTGTGCCGTGGCCAAGGATGGCGGCGTGATGATGCTGGACGTGCGGCAGGGCGCCTGCCGCCAGCACCTGCGGCTGCATGCGCCGCTGCTGTCGTGCGCGCTGCTGCGCCAGGGCGGCAGCCAGGTGCTGGCGGCGGCGGGGGCCGACGGTGGCATCCACTTGATTGACGTTGATACGGGTGAGCTGCTGCCGGCCGGCGCCAGCCCGCCGGCAGCAGCCAGGCACGCCCTTCAACCAAAGCCCCAGCGTTTTTGATCCCTGGGTGCGGTGCGCGACGCGGTGCAGGGGAGGTGGCCAGCCTGTTCCCCGAAGATGCGCCGCAGCGGCCGCTGCTCTGCGCCACGCTGTCCTCAGACGGTGCCTGCTTGGCTGCCTCAGGTGCGTGCCTGGGCGCGGCTGCAGGCTGTGCTTCCGCCAGCTCTGCCTTGTATCGTGTGCTTGCCTGCCTCAGGCTAGGCTAGCCCAAGCGTGAACTTGGCTGCTTGCGCGACCTACAGGGGAGGCGGTGCTGCTGGAGGAGCACGACTTGTTGGCCGGCAGCAGCCAACCAGCGGCAGCCATGGGGCTGGGCCACAAGCCACTTCCCAAGTGGTCTCCGATACATGTCTGGCAGCGCCGCACCGCTGCGCCCTTGTGACTCCCCCCTGCCGCTATGCCCGATCACCCAGGGGCCTCGCCATTTCATTCAGAACTGTATTCCCAGGTGCTGGCAATTGATGCCGTCCCATGCTTGGGGAGCTGAATCAGTGTTGCAGTGTGATGAGGAATCCGGAGCAAATCATCTGAAAAAAACAGTGCTGGCACTATGTAGTGTACAGCGCGCTCGTGGCGGTTCCATGGCGGCAGGCAGCACCCAGCTGGCATCACTCGGCCGTCCCGACCACCCTGACGTAATCAACCAGCATGGTGGCCGGGAAGGGCGTGCTGTCATGGGGGGGGGGGGGCCGGCCAGTCGCCGCCAACCGCCACATTCCTGCAAGCCCGCCAGCACTGGCAGCTGTCAACGAGCCGGCACACCTGGCAACATGCACCAGGCCATGTAGGCTCCAGCACACTCACAGGATGATCGAGAAAAGGGATGTTGAAGGGTGCCTGTGGGTCGTCTGGCGCGGCGTCCACCAGCCGCTGGCAGGGTCCAGCGACCTATCGAGAACGTCTCCGAGATCCATTGCCTCGCTCGATGACAGCAATTCCATCAGCTGCTGCAGCAACAAGGCCGCCGGGCGCCACTTACAGGGCCGTCTGCGCCAACTCCACGCACCGCTACACGCACCGCGGCTCTGCATTTGTGGGTAGGTTGCGGCACGGGAGCAGGGCAGCCGGGGTGCCACAGCCGCGGCAACATGGCAGGACGCCGCTGCCATCTGCCGCAGCGGCAGGCGCGGCAGCGGTGACGGCAGCAGCAGCAGCAGCTGCTCCCACCTTCTTCTCGCAAGCGGCATGGATGCAGTGGACTGCAGCCTCCCTAGGAGCTTACGTGCTGTACTGGGCGGCAGGCCTGATGCGCTACATGCCGCTAGGGCTGCCAGTGTCTGATGTGCAAGCCAAAGAGACGGCGTCGCCTGGCATGCGCCGGCTGCTGGCAGCCGTGGTTCTTGGTGCACTGCTTACCATCTTCGTCCTGCCCTGGCTGGCCATGTGGGCCAGTGGGTCGTGGTCTGCGGGTCTCACGTACTTCCTGCCGTCGATGGTCATGGTGAGGCTGCCTGCCTGCCTGCCTTCGCGTGCTCGCCGCCTGCTTGCGCAGTCTCTTCTGCCTGGCTAGCAGTCTGTTGAGCACACACCCTGGTTGCTGTCCAGTCCACTTGATTATAGCACTGCTGGCTTAAACTCGAAACGCCTGCACCCCCTGTTGGCCTGGCGTGGGCGCAGACGGTGGTCAACATCACATTGGAAAAACGTGCGAGGATGGCGAATCGCACGCTGGCCGTGTATGCCTCCACTTCTGCCAACAACCTGTGGCGGCTGGGTGCCAGCGTGGCAGGTGAGCACTTGATGTATGGGCTGGTGCAGGCCGTTGCGCAGTGCTCACACCACATAGTTTTGTTGTGATACCGCCTGCATGATTTGCACCACAGCTCGCCAAGGCTGGCACCGCTCACTGCCGCTGAATGGTCACCCCGGTGCAGCGCTGTGGGATATGAGCCTCCTGGCAGCCACGGTCGCGGCAGCCCCCCACTTGGCACTCCAACTGATGGCGGCATGGCAGGCGACCTTCGCCGTAATTGTGATGCTGGTCCTGACGCCGGCCGCCATTGCACGCTTGCCTGTTCGGAGCACGGCAGAGATGTAGGGTGGCAGCCTTGTTATGCCACTGCCGTGCACTGTTGGCCATGCCAGCTGTTGCATGTTGATTGGGCTAAAAGGATGTGTGTACTACCCAATCCATCAATTTTCTAATTCTCAACATCTCATCAGACATTTCATTAATGGGATGCACATTCCTCTCGACCCCTGGCAGCAGTGCCCGACACGTCAATGCATCCCTCCCAACGAAGCAAGCAAGCCTTCCTTTCCACTGCCTTTTAAGCAAGCATCATGTGGTGCATGCCTCCCCCTCAATTCTTGTCCTGATGTGCCATCATTGTCCGGCAGCCCGACCCAACCGCGGCCCGTCCTGCTCTTGCCCCACACCCCTGAGCAAGTGCCCGTCCTGACCGCAACCACGTCCCTGGGCATGCAGAAAAGCAGCCAGTTACCAAGCCCCGTCGGCTTACAAGGCAGCGCCCCCACTGTAAAGGCCCACAGTCACCGTCACCCTCGCGCTGGGTCGCCTCGGGTGTGGCCGCCGCATCCCGCATGGCCCCGCCTTGCCAGCTGCCGCTGCACACTCGCTTCCACGCAGGGCAGCCAGGTGGCATGCTGCCACCAGTGCGCTGACCGTGCACTGCAGGGTCGTCGGATGGCGTGGTGTGCCTGTGGCGCCCCACGGAGGCGGCGCTGTCGGCGCGGCGCAACTTGGGCGCCGTCGGGACCGAGCAGCTGGCATCGCTGGGGGGGCACCCTGAGGAGGTGTACGCCTGCCTCTTCCTCCACCACCAGCAGCAGGCTGGTGCCACCCCCGGAGGCGCGAACGGCGGCGGCAGCGGCGGCGGCAGCAGCGGCAGCGCACAGCGGCTGGTGGCAGCCAGCGGGGAGGCGCTCTTCCTGTGGGACCTGTCCACGCGGCGGCTGCTGCAGCAGGTGCCGCCGCCGCCGCCGCTGGAGGCGGCAAGCGGGGGCGAGCACCAAGGCAAGGCGCCCGCATGGCCAGGCGGTGCCTCGATGCGGCACGCTGCCCACATCTGGGACTGCTGATGTGTCGATTGGCTGGCGTGAATCAGCCACCCCCCCTGCTGCACCATTGCTTGCCCTGAGGTGTGCCTTGTCTCAACCCTGGCCTCAACCCTGCATTGCAGTCCCCGAGCGGTGGCGCCCAGGCTACCTGTTTGGTGTAGCCGCCCAGCCAGACGGGCCGCTGCTGGGCGCCGCCTGCAGCGACGGCCGCCTGCGGCTGTGGGGCCGGCAGAGCGGCGACAGCGCCATCACGCCGCTGTGCACGCTGCCTTGGAACCAGGCCATGGGGTCCGACTGGTGAGGGGCGAGCATGCGCACCACAGCTGTGCGCTGGGCCAGCCGCGAGGCCGCACTGGAGCGGCGGCAGTCTGTCCTGCGGGTGGCTCCCAGTGGCGAGGCGCATGCTGGGCCCCGCCTCGTGCCCAGCCCCAACCTTGCTTGCGCTGACCTCCTCCTGCCCGCCCTCCCTGTGTATTGTCGATCAGCTGCTTTGGTGAGGGCGGCCTGTTCTGTGCCGTGGCCAAGGATGGTGGCGTGATGATGCTGGACGTGCGGCAGGGCGCCTGCCGCCAGCACCTGCAGCTGCATGCGCCGCTGCTGTCGTGCGCGCTGCTGCGCCAGGGCGGCAGCCAGGTGCTGGCGGCGGCGGGGGCCGACGGTGGCATCCACTTGATCGACGTTGATACGGGTGAGCTGCTGCCGGCCGGCGCCAGCCCGCCGGCAGCAGCCAGGCACGCCCTTCAACCAAAGCCCCAGCGTTTTTGATCCCTGGGTGCGGTGCGCGACGCGGTGCAGGGGAGGTGGCCAGCCTGTTCCCCGAAGATGCGCCGCAGCGGCCGCTGCTCTGCGCCACGCTGTCCTCAGACGGTGCCTGCTTGGCTGCCTCAGGTGCGTGCCTGGGCGCGGCTGCAGGCTGTGTTTCCGCCAGCTCTGCCTTGTATCGTGTGCTTGCCTGCCTCAGGCTAGGCTAGCCCAAGCGTGAACTTGGCTGCTTGCGCGACCTACAGGGGAGGCGGTGCTGCTGGAGGAGCACGACTTGTTGGCCGGCAGCAGCCAACCAGCGGCAGCCATGGGGCTGGGCCACAAGCCACTTCCCCAAGTGGACTCCGATACATGTCTGGCAGCGCCGCACCGCTGCGCCCTTGTGACTCCCCCCTGCCGCTATGCCCGATCACCCAGGGGCCTCGCCATTTCATTCAGAACTGTATTCCCAGGTGCTGGCAATTGATGCCGTCCCATGCTTGGGGAGCTGAATCAGTGTTGCAGTGTGATGAGGAATCCGGAGCAAATCATCTGAAAAAAACAGTGCTGGCACTAGGTAGTGTACAGCGCGCTCGTGGCGGTTCCATGGCGGCAGGCAGCACCCAGCTGGCATCATCACTCGGCCGTCCCGACCACCCTGACGTAATCAACCAGCATGGTGGCCGGGAAGGGCGTGCTGTCATCGGGGGGGCCCGGCCAGTCGCCGCCAACCGCCACATTCCTGCAAGCCCGCCAGCACTGGCAGCTGTCAGCGAACCGGCGGCCATTGGAGGGGCACGCCTGGCAACATCCACCAGGCCAAGCAGATGCTGCAGCACACTCACAGGATGATCGAGAAGGGGATGTTGAAAGGCGCCTGCGGGTCGTCCGGCGCGGCAGCCGTCCACCAGCCGCCGCCAGGGTCCAGCTGGCGGCTTACCACGCGCTTGGCCTGCAGCCCATCAATGGACACTGCAGCGGCACAGGCAGCGCAGCGCACCCCAGGTCAGCGCCAGCGGCAGGGGGGCAGTTCCAGTTGCTGGCAATGCTGCCCAGGAGCCTGCTGCCCCTGGCCGGCCCGGGCTCACTCACGGGTCACGGAGTCGCGGTCCCAGTCAACCGCATAGGTGTGGAAGCCATCTGAGTAGGGCTTCTGGTCGGGCTGCTGCGTGGAGGTGTCGTCCACCACGTTGTCGGGGTCTGCGGCAACCAAGGGCGCCCGGGGTCGGCAAGCGCAAGGGGCGCAGCCTGATGGGGGAAGCCACCGTGGTCAGCGCAGCCGGCGCAGCAGCGCAGCCAGACACAGCGCGGCAGCGCAGCCAGACACAGCGGGGCGGGCTTGCGTGCGCACATTGCCCCCCGTAGTGCAGACCCTGGGTGATGCTGCTCATCGAGTTGATTGCCTCCATGACATCGATCTGCAGTCAGCAGGGGCAGGGGCATCATGAGGCACAGCAGCCGGCCTCTCAAGCTCAAGCGAGCAGACCACAGCGCTGCGCAGCGCGGCGTGCGCCACAGTAAGCATGTCTGGAGCGGGAGGCCAGGCACACGTACCTCTCCCGACAGGGGCCAGCCGCCGTAGGCGAAGTTGGGCGGGCTCAGCCAGAAGGCCGCCCAAATGCCCTGCCCTGGCTGGGGCACCCGTATCCGCGCCTCCACACGGAGGCTGCCCAGCGTGGCGCCATCAGCCAGCTGCATGCCCGGGAACCAGCTGCCGCCTGCCTTGCTGTTGATGCGGCCCGACTTGTAGCCCGACTCGTCCTGCAGAATGCAGAACGAGGACAGCGGACGGAAGCTGAGACGGCGGCAGCGGCCGGGGCCGGCGCCAGGCAGGCCCACACTTGCTGGCATGGGCACGGCATCAGGCCGCCCCGCCAGCCCACCTTGGTCGCCGAGATGTGCAGGCTGCCGTCGGCCAGCCACACATTCTGGTCGCTCCCGGTGTACACCTGCACCGCAGGGTGGCAGCGGCGAAGCCAGGTCGGCAGCACAGCCCAGCCAGG